AGGAAAATTAAACTGGTTTTAAATTATTCCTCAAGCTTCTTATGTACATGGTGCAGTGCAAAAATATTTGCAGTCCTTTTCTTTTCAGCTCAGAAATAATTCTTCACAGTCATACCCTTATGCAATTCTCTATGCTGTTGCCTATTAGACTCTTTTATTTTGAATAAAGCATGAATTATGGTTTTTAAAATAGATTTGTAAGCCCATAACCAAGACTGCAAATATTTTTGCACAGCACCATGTACGTAAGAAGCTTGAGGAATAATTTGAAACCCACTAAATTTTCCTTTCAGGAAACATTGCAGCTTGAACAATTTTTCTGTGGTCTAATTAATAAAGGAATTATTTTTAAATCTTGTAATGCAATGTCTCAGTTTTATTTGAAGAGAAATAAGGTTAATGTACTTTATTGCTTATCAATATGCAAATATATATTGGTCAAAAAATTTTAGATTTGAGGAGGTTTTCAAAAACATTCATTAGTAGATAAGTGCTGCTTCTCAGACTGTCTTTCCACTTGTATTCTAATTTTTGCCTTAAAAATTATGTGGAGAAATAAAGAAAGAGGAAGGAGAATACATTTTTAAAAAAGGTTTCAAAGGAGAAAAAACTCAAGAGCTTTGACCATAATGAAAATGACTGGATTTTTTTTTTTTTTTTTGAGAGTACTGATTAACAGAAAAAGCTATTAAGAAGGAAATTAGCAATGATGAAATTTACTTCAGGCATGCCACTGCATTCATTTACTGTTATTAAAAAATTTTTGCCACTTCTCTATAAAGTCAATTGTAGACAGGTTGTGAATTTTCAGTGTTTCACTTACTCTCATCTCAGTTGGAATAGGCTTTATTTTGATGTAAGATTGCAATTTTCAGTATGGTGCCCAAGAAGGCATTCAGGCAATTGCAAGTAATTGAAATTGCATAGCAGATTAAAAAAAACCCAAAACTAAACAAAATAAACCCCCCAGCACTTCTAGATATAAAAGAGGAAAATCATGCTTTGGCAATGAGGAGGTGTAAAGAAGTAGCATGCAATTTTTCTAAGATTTGGGACATCAGAAGAATTCAGTAACAGAATGTTCAGTTCAGGAAAAGAGCAAATATTTTTGTCTTGTTCATCCTTGTTCCTGTCTGTTCTTGACTTTCCTCTTGCAGTCTTGACTTTTCCCATTGCAGTCCCCTTGCAATGCTTGATACCACTTCTGGCACATTTCCCCTGGTCATTTTAGATGATGACCAGTGCTTCTCATCTTGCCTTATGGATCTCCTTCTTTATCACTATAAAAAAAAAAAATCAGTATCCTTCCAGTCACTCAGGTATTAGACATTTCTGCTCTTTGTGCCTTATCCAGTAGGAAATATTCAAATACAGCTATTTTCTTAATGCAAATGCTTCTTATGCTTTGCACATAGCCGTGTCTTTCCTTTCACATTGCATTGATCAATGCAGGCTGCTTTTCTTTTGCACCTCTGACTCATTAGCTTTTCTCCACTTCGCTATTAACACAGCTCTTGCAAAGATCAGATCTGTTAATCTTTTTTCCTCATTTTTCATTGCACTCATTTCAAGTTGTCCCTCTTTATCTAAAAGATCTCTTGTAGGTCTCTCAGTATTTTTCCACCTGTTCATATCTGTTTTGCCATTGTGCCTTCCAGGATCACACTTTAGAAATGTCTTTTGCTTTTGTGGGTCTCTTCACTGTTCCTTAACTATTGGAGAAATGGTATTAACTGCTTGTTTTTCTTCACAGCTGTCTTCTCTTTGTGATAATTTCCAAAGACCCACCTTTCCATTTGTGTGCATAATGCCTCTGAACTTTCAGGTTCAGCTACATACTTTCCTTTTATCTTCAGCCAAATAATTAAGGACATACAAAGGAACAGTTGGTACAGATGAAAAACGTGCATTTTATTTAAAATGTTAAATTTAAGAAAGTAATTTATAATTCGTGCTGCACATATATTAAAAGGAATAAACAGAGTTATGATAGGCAAAAAGATTGCATCCTAGTGTTGTCACCTAATTTTCACTTTCTGTGCTAATATTAATATTTAATGGTGACTGTTCTGAGAAAGCACTGATAAGGGCTACATGTACAATATAGCTTGGGTACTATAACTATTTTTGTGTAACTGTTGTTATTATTTTTCTGAGTTATGTGGTCTGGGCAGATTTTCTTTATTACAAAGGTAATGTGAAAGGTTGATGTGCCCCAGTAAGAGCCTTCCTGTTAATAATTTGATCACATATTTTTTCCTTTGTAAAAAAGAGCCTTAAGCTGTTAACACAACAGTTTTCAACTCTGTGAGGAAGAGACCAGAACAACGAATCTGCAAATAAAGTAAAATTTTGAAAAGACACTTCTAAGTAAGCATATTTCTCTAAAAAGTACTATAGGACCAATGTAATGGTTATTCTTGGCATAATTAGGCACACTAAGGAATACTTTATGGCAAGAGCATAAAGTATTTATGCTCTTTACTTGTAGAGAACTATATAATAAAGCAGATGTGGAGCTTTATTGTAAGCCATTCTTAATATAATATCTCTCTAAGGTTTATTGAGAAAGCCTACATCAACTTTCTTTCACCCAATGAAAACCTCAGGTTTTGACTGTCTCTATGTAGTTTAACCTGTGCTTGTGAGAATATATCTACCTTTTTTGTTGTAGGAGCATGTGTTTTTTAAAAAGCTCTTAAGATAGTACAGAAGAGCCCTCACGTCTGTCACTGAAGCACTGAGTGATAAAAAACTGTGCGCCCAAATAAAAGGAAGCAATGAAAAGGAAAGAATGAAAATAACAAAACAACCAGCAATAACTTCAGCTTTCACTGCTTATATTGCAAAAGCAAATTTTATTTTCTTAGTACATTTTTTGCTGTCATATTTTCCATCCTCTCTAATGTATACTCTTATCCCTGTGTTTTTAGAGGAAAACAAAGCTAATACCTTTCCTTACAGTTTCAATCTGGCTTTTACACGTGATTGAATGTACCATGGAAGAGGTCACAGCACAGAGTTAAATTGTGATTTTTAAATAAATGTGCAGAGTAACAATGGAACAAATGGGTTTCATTAGCTCTGTTCCTAAAATAGTGTGCAAAATGACTAACTCACCTCCCATCTCACACGAAGAAGACATTGTAAATAGGTTACTTACTATTTATTGAAAGCTGACAGCATGCTCGCTGTTCTGTGAGCAAGACTTCCTGCTCATAGTCTTTCACTGAGGGCAGGTACTGACATCACCTATATGGAGAAGGGCTGTTTACCCAATTCACGACTGCAGGATCACTTTTTTCCACTGGTAATGGACAGTGGAGTTTAAATGTATGTTGGAGCAAAAACAGGAAATCTTGTTGCTCCAAAAGATGAGCAAAATAACCCAAGTGTTATGAGTTTGCACAGATGTTAGCAGGCAAACCAAGTTCATGGATGCTTCCCAGCCCTTTGGAATAGAGGATTTGAAGGATTTTTGTGGCTGCCTTCCAAACCATAGTAAAGGTTTGAAAGTTCAGTTGAAGTGAGTGATACATTGCCACAGATTATAAAAAAAGAGAGAAAAACAGAAGAGGAAAAAAACCAAACAACCCAAACAAACTAGTTTGTAGTTAACAGTATTATTGTGAAGATTGAGAGTTTTAGGCTGCCTGTGAGAATATTGTGATAAGTAGTATCACAATGAATGCAGAACATGTCCTTAGGTTATGCAGAAGCAGATATAATTCTAAACCCATTGTCTGTGACACATAAGAGAGGAACACAATTAGAAGAGTGCTTAGCTGCACGGTGAAAGTCTTGGGCATGTGAGAAAAACCATAGTCAGTGAAATAATGTGGGGTCCCACGTGTTCTTAGAGCTTCATGGACAGCAATGTTATCAAATGCTGGCATTTTCTTTACATAAAAAGAGATAACAATGATTTTTTAAAACTTGTATTTGAGTACATATGTATTTTGTTATTTAAAAAAATAGGGACTGATGGACAAAAGCAGAGTGCAATAACTGTGAATTAAGTAAGTCAAAGGACCATACTGAGTACAGTGTTAGGTAAGTCACTCATTCATACCCCATCAGACCCTCTTAGTAGCTGCTATTTATTTCCTACACCTTATGTTTTGCAGCAGTCCAATTGCTATGAGGAAGAGTATTCTCAGAGGATATAAATATCTTCTTTTCAATTTTTTACTGTTACAAAGTTAACAAGAGAAAAAGACTTCTCTATCTCTAAAAATTATTTGCTTGGCAAACACAATTGTTAGCTAAAAGATATGCAGAGTAAATCTCTGCATGATTATTCACTCTGAAAGAAACTTGGATGGTGACTCTGAGCTATACAGTTCTATGCAATTGCCAGATCTCAGGCAGTTACAGGGGATGATTGCTGAAATAATCACATGGGGGTTTTAATTTGCTGGGGATTTATTCCTCCTTATTTAGAGGAGGGTACAATTACCTTTAAAATCATTGGTGCCTCAGTCTTCAGCATTCTCACCACTGCAATATCTCTCTGTCTGACAAAGTGAGAAAGACCTTAGACCTTGAAGAATTTGGAAGAAAAATATGGAGGAGGTAAAACTTAGCTACTCTTCCTACCAGTTTGAGAAAAACTGGGTTTTACTTTAAAGGCTGTGTTATAAGTGGTGGCAAAAATAACCTCTGTAATGTACTTATTTGTGTAATTAGATGGCTGATACTCCAGTAAGTCTGGATGATTCCAACTTATTCTGGTCATGATTTCTATTTTGACTGTCACAGTCTCCAGCAAGTGTGCACAGAAGAAAATTGTTTTAGTGAAAAGATAATTTTTTTTGTTCTTCTTTCTTTTAACTGTATCTGATTTAAGCTAGAAGAATAGAAGGGGGTTTTCCCCCTTCACTCTTTCTTCTTTATTTTACTCTTTATTTGGAAGGATTGCTTGTAAGCAAGTGCTAATGACATTAACATTGGTGGTGCAGGAGAGGCAGCCTGACGTGGATCTCATGTTTTTTTTCCAGATGAGGATAGGCATTCACTCAGGTTCGGTGCTGGCCGGCGTGGTTGGTGTGAGAATGCCCCGCTATTGTCTCTTCGGGAACAACGTCACCCTTGCAAGCAAGTTCGAGTCAGGAAGTCACCCACGCCGCATCAACGTCAGTCCCACCACATACCAGTAAGTCCTCTTCACCCTTTCCTATTGTTTTTGCTTCGGCCTGTTTTCAGTTCCATCCTGTAACATGTTCTGTCCTCAACACATGAAATTCAACAAAAAGTCGGTAGGGCATCAGCTGGAAAGAGGTATTGCTTGGGCATGCCTGTCTTTCATTTGCAGGTTTGGATCAGAATGTGCAAAGAAGTCGGGCATTGGAGGCAAGGAGGCACAACAGAAAACCGAGCCATTTCCACCTAAAATAATATACAACAAAAGAAGTGGGAGATATCTCCCAAAGCAATGTAGTTTTGTGCACTATTGCAGCTTTTGACTGGGGATTTGGGTTCCACCCACTAAACACAGTTCATGAAAGAAAGCACACTCCCATTGTCTCAGAAGGAAGTCTAATTTTGCCAGTAAGGACAAGCTTACAAAGAGATTTAATGCTTTCTTGAAGACAAACTTTTTTATTTAGCACTGTAAAGACACACTTGATAGAAGCATTCTCATAATGTAGGAAAAAAGATTGAAAATTACAAAGCATTATCCCTAGGGTTTTGAAGAAATTATGCAAATGGAGAGAAAGCTTGATTAAATCTGGTTATGAGGAACAGCTCCTAAATAAAAAAGGTGTTCCTTATTGTTCAAATTTGACAGTTTGACTATTAGAATTTCTACTGCTTAGAGTACAGCTGATGCACTCACTTTTCACTTTTTTTTGGCAGAATATCTCAATCTTCCAGTGTTCTGTATCTGAAGTAATTTTCTGAAGTAAGGTTTTGAGACTGTGTGGTAAATCTGTACACAGTTGCTTAAACAATATTGCTTTTCTTTCTTTTTTCTTTTCCTATTCAGAACTGTGAATCTCAAATATTTTCCCCCATAGCTATCTATGTAAATAAAAATTTTAAATGGGATTTCTTCATCCAAGTATTAAAGTGTCTGCTATGCTAAAATATGAATCAGTCAGAAATTAAAGTTAAAAGTAATTAAACTAGTGCATAAAGTAAGATTCTTCTGAAGAGCCCATTCACTTGAGATCATATTTTGAGAATGAAGCAAGTGTAACAAGTTGAAGAAGAGGTAGAATAACTGAATAAGGTTTGTATCATAAAGTGAACAGAAATCGATTCATACGGATGTCTGGTAACATGCAAGAGAAGGACAATCTATTATCTTCCAAATCTATCCAAATCCAATTTAATATTGTTCACAGAAAATATTTTCATTTCAATGAAAATAAATTCAATAAATATATAGGAAATTTCTGTTTGGAGCTTGGTATCATTTGGAAAGAAACTGGTTTTGGGACCTTCCATACACAGCATTCTACATGATTTGGCTCTTGGTCATCCAGTATGGGATAGAAGGAACCCTCTAAAACTCAATAGTCACAATAATTTTGTTTACCATTTGTGCTCTAGTTACAAAATTTACACAGCAGCAGGGCCTTTGATGTGTGGTTTGCAGTCTGGCAAAAGCTGACCAAGTCCCTTTGGCAGGGAGCTGAACTTTTGTTGAACAGGATCAGTTCTTATAAAGTGCTGTTCTCCAGCCTGAGATAGTCTTCAAGATACTCTGAAAGTGCAGTCCATACTTTTTCAGAAGAGAGACCTTAGTGCTTCACAAATGTAGTTCAGGGGACTGATTCTACTTGGGGCTATGGTGTTGCTTGCTCATGTTTGTGTCCCTGAGAGGAGAAACTGGTGAGCTAGACAGCTTTATGGAAATAGAAGTAGAAAGTATCTGTGGGACCTGTGGTGTTCAAAACTCTCTTCATGTTGGGGCCAGAGTCACTTTCCATGTACCAGTGCACAGTGGCAGTGGTGTTGAATTTGGTTATGAGTGATACGGCACCTCCTCTGTGAGACACAAATTTGTGGTCATTGTCAGCTGGAAATGTTTCTGTTCATGGCAAGAGGGTTGGCATTAAAGGTCCCCTCCAACCCCACTGATTCTATGGTTCTGTGATGGTATTTTCTTTCCATCACAATGCTGATTAAAGGACTGCTCTGAAAGTTAGTTTGAGGGCCTGTGTGTGGAGCTTGTTAGAAATCTGTGGGTCTGTGCTGCCCTTTTTCTGACTTCTAGTACATTGTGGCACAGAGAAGATGGCTTCTCTTTACCTGTGTCTCATCTCTGCCTGGCTGCCACTGGGCATGTTGTACCATGGCAGGTCAAATGTGAGTCACCTTGGAGAGCATTCTTAATACGTCATAGATACCAATACTTGAGTCAGACCTTCTCATCCTGCATATCTTTTAGGCTGCATCAAAACTGGGGTTTTTTTCACTTCCCTCTAATCCTAGAAATCCAGTATGAATAGTACCATTTTTTTTTTCAAGATGGTGAAAATGAGCTATCAATGAGAATGGGTTATCAATGAGATATCAATTGGATATCAATTGATATCAATGAGATATGAATGAGCTATCAATGTAGACTGTTGCTTCAAAAAGGGAAGAAGGTAGAAAAGCGAGCAATTATGTAGCAATGCTGCAACATAAAATTGCAAAACAACATACAACAAAATACAGAATTGTTGGTGTTTTTTATCTGCACTATTGTACTCAGTAAACAATCTGCTGTTAGTGTGCTGAACAAATTCAATGCTTGATTCAGAGAATTTGCAGCGGAAGTAACAGGCTAGACACATGGTTACAGGTGAAGGAAGTAGAAATGGCAAGAAAATGTATGTTTGAATGAGATGCAGTTATCCTTCAAAAATGAGTGGCTAAAAGTAGTGATTATGAGGCTAGGAACAATTTTATATTACAGGCTTGGAAAATGATGTGAAAAGATAAAACGAATATGCATGGGGCAACTTGAAAAGCTGATTTCCAACTATACCTTCTGGCACAGTTGGAAGCTTGAAAACAGGGAAGTCAAGAAATGACACTGTTGACACAGTGGTCAGAAGAGACTGCAATTACAAAATACTCAAAGGGGCAAAATTATTCAGAGTTTCTGAACGTGATCTGTGAGATTTAGCATAATATCCTTGTGGTGTCCAAATAAAAAAAGAGTTATATGATGCATCCATGTATAACTTTTCTTAAATATAATTTGTCTGAGTATATATTTATTGTGTATAAATAAGGTGATTCATCACAAACTCAAAATGTATTTGTATTTGACTTTATATTCTACTAAATGCTTCTGTTTGATCACACTGTGCTGCTGTGCACTTTATTAATACTGCTGTTAATATTTCTATTATCTAAGATTAAGTATTTTTCCAAAGTAGATGATTTTGCAGTCGGTATGAAAACAACAGAATTTTCAATTATATGAAACTACTGGCATTTCTCATCACATATTTGTGTCTACCATGGCCCCTGATGGAAGTTGTGATACAAGTTTTATAAAGCATGCAGGTCCTTGAAACATATCCAATACTTATCAGCTTTCATTTTACGGTAAAGATTATGCATCATAAAGTGTCATCAGTACTCAAATAACAATCACACTTCAGAATACCTATTATTGGTTACAGACACTTCCCTTCAAGCCTGTAATCTACCTAAGTAAGAATCAGAGTCTAAAATAAGTGAAATAAGTGCAGGGTGTGATGTTTGTTGCTTAGCAGCAGCAGCAGTGAGCCTGGGACAGCCTTGCTTCAGTTACACCTACCTGGGCAGAGCTCTGCTAGGTGTGAAACAACACCTTTAACAAAGGTGGACTTTGCATTTTTTGAATCTGAAACATCACTTCTGTTTGAATTATCCTGTTTTCTTGACTCAGACAAGTCTTTCGATGAAAGGATCACAGATCCCCATGTGCTTTGAATCACTCAGCATTGTGAAATTAAATCACGGGAATAGCATTGGTAAAACTTCCAGTGAAAAATGTGGAAATTGGAGAGGAAGTTGAGATCCCAGACTAGTCCCTGTATAAACATATGGACTGGAATAAGAAAAGAAGTTTATTTAATTCATCTACATTATCCTGAATTGAATAGAATTACCCTATTTTCCAAAGTCAGGAAGGAAGCACAGTAAGATTTATGAGGCTCTTCAGCACAAGAGAGAAATAAAATATTTTTTAGTTTTTTTGTTTCAGCCTTTAATAATGATTTTTATTATATATTAATATCATAAACCTACATTTGTCTTGTTTTCTTAGTAGTGTTGCAATGTAATGCTTTGGGATTTCTAAGTTATCAAAAGCAGGTAAACATAGTTGTTGCTGTTTGTCAAGTAACTCCTATTTAAGAATGATTTTTGTTTTTTCTGTTCTTTCTACCTCTAGTCTTTTGCAGCATGTATTTCTCTTGTGGAGAATGTGCTTCTGGCACTCAGTGCTGGGTACGGATACTTTCCATTATCACGTGCTGGGCAATGCATCTGGGACCTGAGCTTAGGCAAAGATGAACAGCCTGTATCCCACATCTTTATCTTGATTTAGGAGAGAAGGCAACCCAAGTGTACCTCTTTATTGAGCTGGGCCAGGTCATTGTACTCACCTGCATAAATTGCTTCTCAGCCTTTAAAATTGATTAAAACCAATGTAGCTTCTTAATAGTTCTGTCACAGAAAGGTGTATGAAAGAAGTTTTATGTAATTAAGAAGTGTTGCTATACTTCCCTCTTTACACAGATTTTAAATTAAAATTAGGCTTTTCTTTAAGGTCCTTATTGATTTTTATTTTTACCAATTTTTTTCCCTACAGGTTGTATCTGTTTATATGTATTACTTCTCCTACAGGTTATAGCAATCTCTACATCTATATTTTTCTGCTTCATATGGTCAAAACAATGGGCTTGCTCTCCCAAGAGTATTTTCAGATTATTTTAGGTTTTATTTCTCAGCATCCTTTAAAAAAACTATTTTTATGTTGGTCAATTGTATGTATGTTTTCAAGAGATATTGGTGGATGGAGACTTAAGTTTTGGGCAGACTGGGAATACAACTTATTAATGGGCACAAAAAAATTATTGCTAGTCTAATTTTAGAAGCATAGTCAAAATGCACTGTTTTTTCTTGGGTTTCGGCTCCTTGTGCCACCTGCCTCTGTGAGGT